CAACCTTTGATTACAAACGATCTTCATTGTACTAAAAAAAAATTAAATAAATAAAAAAAAAAAAATAAAAAAAAATAAATAATCAATCCTTCAGCCTTTGTACACGGTATTGTTATCATTAATAATCTTTATGAATTCAAATTAGAGGTCGGGCCGGTTTCAACATGGTAATAATGGCAAAATTTCAAAATTGTTACACGACTATTTATATAATTTTAAATGAGTTTATAAAGAATTGGTGATTGATTAGTTCATAAAAGGCAAAAAGGATTTATTTTCAATAGAAAATCATTCAGTCCATAAAAAGGCATATAAATTTTCAATAATAGGAATACAAAAAGGAATTTACTATCAAAAATTTAAAGCGAACAAAGCTTGCATAAAACTAGTATTGGTTCACAATTACCGTTTTTGAAGCTCCTTGTGTTAAAGCCACCATATTTCTTTGGACACAACCTGTTTATTTACTCGTTTAAATCCTAAAATTCTGCAACTCCAAATCGTTATATATTCTCGCCAAAAAAGATGAAGTTTACCTCAAGTAGATATACAAAACATATTCTACACAATTCTTATTCAATTCACAATGTCTACTAGTGTGACGGAAGATTACAGCAAGATCAAATCGTTTGCAATTTTTCCACCTATTGGTGTTGCACGTGTTGGCAATTCCACAGATTATTATGTCGGAGCAGAGATTTCTGGAGTGTACGTTGGAGGTAAGCTGTTGAATTTCTAATTACAGCAACATTTAGATATGTATATTAATTAATGTTACTAATATTGCCTCTTTTTCATTCTAATACATGTATAACTTTTGTCACTACAGAGGGTGACACTTTCTTCAAATTTAAGGATGAAAATAATCGTGTAAGACCACAAGCTGCAAGGTTCAGGATATATGGTTACGACGAAAGTGGTGTCGTGCGGGAGATCAAGCTTACTGATGAAAATGAAAATGTGAAAGTAAAAATTGTCTGGACTGTTACACTCGCTAATAAGAAAGCAGCACACACAAGATTCTCCGGTATCAAAAAGTATAAAATAGATAACATAAAAAGAAACCCTAGTATGTAATTCTGCCTATCTTTAAAACTTTACAACTGTACAATATTAACTGAAATTGCAAAACTATCTTTAGATTGGGAGCAACAAAAAAAAAGGTCCTATTAATGACAAGGTAAAGTTAATAGACAATAGGCTGAGTAAAATTTGCCCAATTTTGCCAGGAACATCTGATTTGAGTTTCCGGGATCCTCACCCAACCAATTGGGACCTAAATATAAAAGAACAAAGCCCAATAAATTGTGACTAAGTAATAGGAAAGCCTAAAGAACCAAGGCAGATATTTAGGATTATGGAGACATGCGACTCAGGCAGATAACAAAGAGCTGCTGAGAAAACATTACTGGAGGGGAATAAACATCATCCCCATGGGTTAATAGACAAAGAGCTATTAATACCATATACACCACATAAGCAATTGCAATTGAGATTAAAACTACCAAGGAGCACTCAGCCACAGCTGTATAAATAAAATATTGAGATTTACTGTGAGATCGAAATCCATATCTCACAGTACATATGTACAATGTGCAAAAATTTCCTCGTATAGGTGTACAACCATAACAAAGCTGTATATACAAACTCAATTTTTCTTGTACAGCAAAATTCCACAACCCAGTTAATACTAATACTAATACTATTACTATTACTATAATTAAAATTTTGGGATGGGATATTTGATATGAAATTTTGTAGGGATGTTAATTTGATTGTACAAAAATCGATTTTATGTGAGTGATCAGCAAAATTTTATTTAAAAATCAAAGGAGAAAAATAATAAATAATATGGATGAATTTGAAGCATATAAAAATTATACCTCGAATGCTTCCTATTGAAGGAAATGAATCATTAAAATGGTGGGTGGCATGATAATGAAACACTCCCAATATTTTCTACTTTGGCCAAAAAATATTTGGCAATTCTTCTCATCAGTCCCTTCAGAAAGACTTTTTTCTGATGCAGGATAACAAATTACTTTTGTTGTGAAACAGACTTAGCTTACAGTCTGTTGATCAAATTCATTTTTTATAAAAATTGAAAAGACTTACAAGTGACCTGGTCCCGTTTTAATATATTTTATATTTTATATTTTATATTTTATATTTATTATTTCACATTTAACATGTTTGTTGTACTGTAAAGTGTGGTTACAGATTTGTCAAAGCTTTCTAGGTACAAGAAAAAGGCAGTAAGCAGATAATTGTTAAATAAATTCGTCATTGAACGAACATAAAAGCTGCAATTAATTGACGAGTGTAGTTGAAAAGTTAACTCAAACTCGGTCATAAACGTAAAACAATTAATATATTCACAATATCAATTGTAAATCGATAATCAATTACAATTGTTTCAATTCACCAATCGATTATCGAGATCCCTAAAATTCTGATTGGCTAATACTAATTTGAATTTTATATAATAAATATAAATAGTAGTTATTTATATTTTGGGTTTCGCCCCAACCAAAAAAGCTCAAAATGGACACACATGAAGATTCTGAAGTTGATTGTTTAATTCCGCAAAATAATAGTGAAAATGATAATACTAATTATACAACAACAACAACGTCGTCAATCCCACCAGCTTCAGGTTGTACTATCCCAACGCCCATAGGTCGAACAACCTTTAACATGGCCTTTATTTTGTATTTGTTTGCAAGTCTTGGTGTTTTATTGTTTTCTAGTACTGTTTGGTACATAATGTGGAACGCTGATTATTTATTTTTCGTGTGGCATCCAACATTCATGGCTTTAACTATTTTCATGGTCACGAATGGTAAGTGCAATATAATACATATACTAACAATTAATTATTATAATAAATGGATGTCTAAAAGATCTAAATAACTTAATCTATTTAATAGGCATTCTTGTTCTTCAACAAACTACGACCAGAGAAGAAAAAAGTCTGGGACTTAACTTGCATAGATTGATTCAAACTATTTCGTTATTAAGTGTAATCAGTGGATTTTACGTCATCATCACTTTTAAAAATATGAAAAATAAAGAACATTGTAATTATTTTTTATTTTTTATTGTAAAATTATATTATTTTCAATTAATGAATCTAATGAAAAATCTTCTTTTTATTAAAAAAAAAGTTGCATCTTCTCATGGAGTATTTGGATTAACAACAACCATACTTTTGATAATCCAATTAGTTGGAGGAGTCACTTTGGCAAATTTTCCTGGATTATTTGGAGGAGTTACTAAGGCACAAATGATTTATAAATATCATCGTATAAGTGGATATTTCTTGTTATTTTTTATTTATTTAACGGCTCTTGGAGGCACACAAGCTGAATGGACAAAACAACAATTTGATCATTTATGGATTTGGCTTTTAGCAATCGGATTGGTATTTATAGGAATTATTGGAAGGGTCAAATTTAACAAATTGAGAATTAGATAAAATTATTTAATATTTTTATTATTATTGATTATTTGAATTTTTGGCTTGAGAATCGACTTTCTTGATGTTCTTGTGTTGTGATGGATGAATTCGAATTATTTGATATATAATATAAATCAATTTATTTGCCATAAACAAATACTTTCTTGGTGTAAACATGTAAGGATAATAAATATCATTAAATAAAATCTTATATTTACATTAAAATCAGTCAAATCAGCATTACTCAATTTTTTTAACAAAATTTCCCTTGAGAAAATCAAAACTAATTAATGTCATATATTGATTGGTTATATGTGATTTTTTTTTGTGATCTGCATATCTTACAGAATTTCCGAAATTTACATAAAGAACATAGTAAACATATTGTTTTCAAAACACTGCTCCTCCTCCGTTTTCAAAGATATAGACACCAAATTAGTGTACAAGATAGTATATGTAATATAGATTAGAGCTATGGAAAGATTTAATGGATTAAAAATACCAGTGGCGTAAAAAAACTCATTCGAAATACAGAAAATTTCTTTCTTTATCGTTATACTTCTATCTATTGCAACTTCCGAAAAAATTGTATGAAATAAAGATTCTATCTCCATAGCACTGTTCTACAAATGTATCCTGATCAAAAACCTCTAATAATTTTATAAATATAACGACTTTCCAGAAGCCTTAGCGATTGAAAGTTCATAATACTAATAAAACGTAATATTTATTTAAAAAATAATAGCAAAATATTTTGCTACACTTTCCTTTTTTAGAGAAAAAAAGGGGGCACCATAAAAAAATCCGCATATATGGATTACATTATGACATTAATTAGATTTGTTAATCAACTTATATCGAATACCCCAATAAATTATCATATCAGAAGTAAATAAACTATACAGCAATGATTTATTTGATTTTACCAATTTCCTTTTATCTTCATAACAATTTTTAACCATAAAACAATCTATCTCGTGAGGGTGGCAACCACAACATGTAACCACTGATTGGGTTATCAGAAATAAGATTGTGAGTTTTTTCAATCTTGAGTTTGTGCATAACATTCAATGAATTGGTTAATTCATTTCTAAAAGAATGCATGACCTCAATTATATTATACAAATAGCATAAGTCCAACAATCTTTTTGGTAATGAGAACCAGAACAATTTTTTTTTTTGTGATATAGTCCATGACCGACAATATATGCAGTTGAAATAGAGCAATTATATTCTATAAATATCAAATTACATGTTAAATTTCAAAAGCGTAAATAACAAAAATAATAATTGTAACAGAAAGGGTAAAACTTTACTTTCATCAATTTGAAAACTGAATACTTGGAGTTTTTTAGAACCTCAATATCACATATTTTATAATCTTCCAGATGCCATCATTGAGCATGTCAATCACGCACCATTTAAGTTTTACTTTATCTCCCTCTGTGTGTCTCTTTGGAAGACTAGTTGGTGTTCCAGATAGCTCAAAAATAAGGAGTTATTTATCATCTAGGTTGACGAGTGATCCTATACCATCAGTTTTTGAACCGATTCTACATCTTTTGTCTTCTTTGAGATGCAAATTTTGGCGGTTTGCTGTGGACAAGCTTGAAATTTCACTCCTACAATCAAAAGAAAGAGTTATTAATAATCACAGAAACAATCCATCAAAAAAAAAAAGTTTCTTACCAAGTTACATCCATATTTTTGAATATAAAAATAAAAGGCTTAATTATGGGTTCAATAGATGCACATGAAATGTTGATTTGATGCTTGGTCATTGTGCAAAATATTCTAGTTGGTTCTTGAGAAAAAAAATACCATCACTAGTCAAGGTTCTTCATACAATAAAAATTATAGTATATTATCGGTAAATTTGGTTCCTTTTTTATGTTACGTGTTTTTCGATTGAAAATACTTAATATTAACAAGGAACCTCTATTCCGCTAACCAACACGTGGAATCAATTACTGATTCATTCGTAAGTTCATTGCAAAAGCTCCAAAACAACCACTTATAAAGCAGCCAGGTTTGATAATTATGAATTAATAGCTGATGTACTGAATGCGATTAACTTGTTGCCGGATGTGAAACTTGATTAAAGGTAAACAACGATGCTGTTACATTCCCTGAACGAAGAAATTCAGATTTGCATATAAAATTTAATAATAATAATAGTAAATTTTTAAATTAAAAAAACTAAAACCTTCATCAATAAAAAAACATTAATTAAAAATATTATTTTATGAATGTCACAATAAAACTAGCTAACAACTCAATGAAGAAATTGTTCTAAGTGTAGCAAAAATTATTACTTTATTTTTACAAATAAAATTTTAAAAATAATGAGTATTGCAAATTCTTCCATTTAATTAATTACATATTTGCATTTGTTTATTAATAACTTGTGTTGACATTGATGCAGTAGTTAATATAAATTATTGAGACGAATGAAACAAAGCACTTATGTACACTCTTTTCACACCTCAATGAGATCTTTGTGTCGTCGTTTCCAAAACACTTCATTATTCCACCTTTGTTCCTTATTATAAAAAAACACTTTTTCTCTCATATATTTACTCAATACGTTCTCGATGTATTGCTGATAGACCTCCAAGGGCTGAATTTGTTTCCCTTCGTTTTTCGTCTTCCTACCATTAAAATATTGGAAAAATATTGCTTCTGCCCCAAACTTTGCACTATTTAGAGCGGTAAGCATCCCTTGGGATGAGAGCGGATCAAAAGAAACAGCACTATCACCAATTGCTATCCATCGATTTTCGTAAGAAGCTGATTTGGGATTATAGTTAAAAGTTGAATGTCAACACTATTAACACACGATAAAAATTAGGTACTTACCAAATTGAGAAAGGCTTGCTGAATTCGCAGGCATGCACGTAACCCTTTTCCCCACAGGACGATATGAATATTCGCTTATATGTTTTGCAATATGCGTAGAAGTTTCCTTTATGAATTCATTAAACTCCTCAGCTAGTCTGATTTTTCTATTAATCTGATGGAGCAGATCGTCATCAGTATGAAAAACAACAATGCGTTGCTTGCTAGGCAACAGACTGGTGTACCACCATCCGAAGGCACAGGATTCTACGAGGGTGTAATGGTTCGAATCGATCAATTGAGTCTTGGATGGAGTGTCATAGCCGACTTCGAATAAACATGCGAATGCCAACAGCTTGTCGGAAGAATTTCGTTTTAAATCTGGTAAACATTTTCGGATACAACAGCGACGGCCACTTGCATCAATGAGGGTTTTCCCGTGAATTTGGTGTGGATGTGATGGTTCTAGTAATATATAAGAACGAAGGTACCTGTATTTAATGAGATCTTAGCTTGCAAAAAAAAAGGAAAAAATAAGTTTACCGTCGCTTGAAATCGTAATCTTCCAATGTGCATCCCCTTGATCAATATCTTTGGAGAGGAATAACTCAGTCACCTTAGAATCACGCATAATTGTTATAAGTTGACCATGTTCCAACACAGCAGTTTTAAGCAGCGTTTCCTCAAATAGCAGCCTATCCAAATGAAACCCCTCACCATAAATGTTGAATATTGTATTAGTACCCAGTAAATCATCAGAACCCCATGCAGAACAATTTTCGTAACAAAAGTTATGTTTTCCTTATAATAAGTATAAAGTGGACGTTAGTAAAGGTGCATGGGTTTCTGTCATAAAATAATTGTTCAAATATCAATACCTTGCATTGCATCGTTATTTACTGCCTCAAATACACCCAACGACTGAAGTGTAGATTTTGCTTCTCCAGGCAAGGACTCTCCAACTTTAAACGTTTCTGCATTTGGAGCTCTCTCATCAATAACTAAAATTTTCCGCCAAGTTGCAGCTGCCAAATTGAACAACTGGGCCAGTCTTATTGCTGTACATGACCCCGCAACACCACCGCCTATAATGATAACGTCAAAATGTTGCTGGATGTTCATTTATTATTATTGTCAATTTTCGTAAAAGGAATGAATTTTTAACATTAGGAAAAAAATATTTCATTAGTTTGTGTAATTTGCAAAAATATATAAATATATTATTACCGCATCTTACAAACTTTGCCAACATGCACGTATCTGTAATAAATTTGTCGTTTTCAGATCTTAAAATGTATCATTAAAATTTGGTAAATTTTATAGTTTGAATGAGCATTTTATGAGGTGATGTGTTCATCAAAACATTTACACATGATAATTATTTTTATTTTTATTTCTTCAAATTACCAATTCAATGTTTAAATATTAATTCTCTTTTGTGTAAATAAGAATATATACTAATATGAATTAGAGGTTGGAACCGGTTTTAATAAAAACGTAAACCGGTTTGCAATTGATAATCTAATTTCATTTTTGTGGAGTTTTTGTGTGTTCGATGGCTGATGATCATCAAACATATATATAGCAATTATTATGTGCTTGCATGTAAATGTTGGACAACAAGAATATATTTTTTGAAAACACGAATTATAAAAAGAATTTTTAAGGTAAAAAAGTAATAATAAATAGAATAACTTTAAACCATAATAATAATAACTTTTTTTTTTCGTAATAACCTTTTTATGGTTTTATTGCTTAAGTCTTCTATAATAAATCTATAGAGCTTTTTTCCCTATCTCATTTGGTTATAAAATTTTTCTATTAGCAATCTTTTTTCAATTTCTTTAGAATATACAAAAAAAATCTCTATAGCCTAAAATTTGATTCATTTGCTATAATTTCCCTCGTTTTATATTTGTATCTCTGATAGAATTTTATTTATATATTGTTTTATTTAAAAATTTGATTTAATTAGGAATCTCACGTCAATCGGCCAGTTTCACACATGCATTTTTACTGTTTCATGACAGACGCCATTGTTACATAATACAGTCAAAATTCGTTTCAAAATCTTGCGATTGATAATGTTCTTTTTTTAAAGAAAATTCAATGTTTACTAAAATGTTTACTTATAATTTCCATTTGAAATCTTGCTGATTTTTTTCCAGGTCATTCATTATTATATTTATATATCATATATTTTTAAATATTAAATATTAATATAAATATAACATTAACATTAATATTAAAAAAAATATTAATATGAAAAGTTCAAATTTGATATCAAAAACGGTCTTTATTCGTTCTTTGGCTTTATTAAACTAGGTTTTTTTGGGAAGCATAAGAGCAAAATCAAAGGCGGTGGATAATTTTTACTGCGTTGACTGCAATTCTTAAAAATTTCCCCCAACCAACTAATTGATTGATTTTAAAAAAAACCCACAATTCATTTTTCCTTCTTTTCCCTACCATAATTATCATTATTATTTTATATATTTCAACTTGCTTGTAAACATGTGCACTACAGAAGTAATCAGTTATCAGTTATATTATAATCATTTTTTCTTGGCGAATTCTATTGAACTATATTTCAAACTGAAGTAGAGTTTGGATCCGGTTTATTTTTGTCAAACCGGTTCGAATTCGGATTCTAAACAGGCAAACCGGATTGGACCGGATTGGAACCGGATTCAAAACGGATTTAGAATTTTTGGACGATCTTATTATTATTATTATTATTTATTGTTAAAAATAACAGTAATTACAATAATTACAATGAACTATTCTGATTCTATATCTTCATTAGAATCCCAACTTGGTGCAAAAACATTCATGAATTTCATATTTCGCTTTAGAAAAAGCATCTTAACAACTAAATTACAATTTAAATGGTTTCTTTTTTGATTTATGATATTACCAGCATCAGAAAAGAGACACTCACTTGACACAGAACTTGCTGATATTTTAATGCAAGTTTAGAAAGGTATGGAAAAGCTTGTGTGCAAGCTTTCCACCATTCTAATGGACTTTCATTCTCTGATGCTAATGAAAGATCCAAATAACTTTTTACTTCATCTAATAAATAATGATCATTTGACAAAACACTTTTTCTTTTACCCTTCAAGAGGCGATAATGTTTATACCCTTGATAAGAACGTGTTAATGAAATATCATTTATAAAATCAACTAATTGATGTTCATTCTGATTTATATTCAATTCAGGTTTCAATTCATTGTATTCTATATAAAGTTGTTGTATTAGTTGTTGTTTTTCATGCTCATCATCAATGCAATCTAAATTTTTATAATGAGGATCCAAAAAAGTTGCTAATAATCCAAGGTCATTAGGGCCATTCCAATAATAGATTAATGAATCATAGATTTTTTCTTTAATTTTATTCAATAAATTAATTGTATTTATAGGATACTTGATTGAAATTTTCTTTTTTGAATAATTGCTTAAAACTTCATCATCATCAATGTCTGGGATCGAGTTTGTTTCATAAAGATTATTGATTCACTGGTTGTAGTTTCACCCAATAATGATGCATCATAAAAATCTCCTAAATTGAATATTAATTCCTTTATTGTTGGCACCATTTTACTTAAAGTAACATAAGAACCACCTGAAAATTCACATGTGGCTTGCTCAAAAGGCATTAATAAAGTTATTAATTCATCAACTAAATCCCAATCCTCATCTGATAGCATTATTTTTCTAAGCTTATTTCCATCTTTTTTTCCTTCTCTATTTGTTGATGTACATAAATCAGTTTGAAGTTGAATAATTGCATCTTTTAAAAAGAAAAGACGATCAAATGCATAATATGAAGAGTTCCACCTAGTGGAAACATCTTGTACCAATTGCAAGGCTTCTGTATAACCTAAATGTTTTTGTACATTTTTTAATCTCTCTACTTGTTTTTGTGTTGAAAAAAAATTAATTATCCTTCTTACACGAGCAACCAATACCTCAGCAATCATTAAACCTTTTCCAAATGCTAATTGTAATGCGTGTGATACACATGGTAAACGTTTGATGGCATAACAACCAGGTTTTTGGTTAAGTAATTGAATGGATGCAATCATATTGGCACCATTATCAGTCACTATAGATACAATTCTACCTAACAAATTCCAGTCTAAAATACTTTCATAAAGAGAATCAGCAATTACAACTGCAGTATGAGGTGCAGGAACATATTTAATATCTAACATGATGTCAACTACACTAAAGTCTGTTGCAATAAAAGAAGCAGTAATACCAAGGTATCCATGCTTGGCTCTACTGGTCCAGAAGTCTGTAGTTAATGAGATATAATCAATTCTTTGTTGAAAATTTTCACGTAATGCTTCTTTGTTAAAACTGTAACTTTTTCCAATCATAGTTCTTAATTTTTTGCACCTGGTATAGAAAATTCTGGATCAAAAACTTTCATTTTTTCTATATATGCTTCATTAGTAACAATAGACAAAGGTTGGTTGGTTTTCAATATCCATTTAAGCAGTGCCTCTTCTTTTTTTTCTGAATATATGGAGGATGGTTATGAGTTACTTGTGAATAATCAGTTATTTTTCTTTGTGACTAAATGTTAAAAAAGATAATATATTTTAATTAAAAGATTAAAAATAATAATTTAATCAAAAATATTAATTTAATTAAAAATATTAAATATGAGATGACATATATTCTTACCTTTTTTCTTTCACCAACTATTTCTACTTCATTGATACCATGCACTTCATCTAAATGTCTTTCAATTTTCCAGTAGAATACCCAAAACTTTTATACGTTTTTTTACAACATCTCCCATTTTTATCCAAATGTTACAAATGCGCAATTCTTCACCAGTTGTAGGATCAAAAGCTTTTCAAAATAATCATTAGTAAAACTATAATTTTTTCTTTTCTTTTTATTTATTCTAGATATATTTGAAGATGAATCTGCATTATCTGTAGCAAGGAATGAATATTAATAACATAACATGTATGAATTATTGTTAAAAGGTCATTCATTAATTATACTTACTCCCAACACAAAACACTTCATTATTATTACTATTAATACTGTTAGTATCATCATCATCATTATTATCAGACATTTTGAAATCGTTTTTTTATTAAAATATTTTTTTTTTTTTTGAATTAAATTTTAATATTTAATAGAAACCGGATTCAACCCGGATTCAACCCTCTTTTTTTTTTAAGAACCGGTTATCCGTTTTCAAACCGGTTTACGGGTTCAACCCGGTTTGGGCCAAACCGGATCCAAACTCTAAACTGAAGGATTAATTTCAAACACACCTAATGATTCTTTCTTACTTAAAAATCTTTCGGCCGAAATTAAAATTCAAAGATTACCCACCAAGTTACTTTCACTAAAATTATTTATTAGTCGTTGGCAATAAAATGGAATAATTAGCTATTTTTACAAAAATATCAAATCGTAATAAGTAATTTAATATTTTAGATACAGTAACCAGTTTGATAATTAAAATTGATCCAGACTATTAGATACATATTATTGATGGAAAATCCATCTATTTTTGAAACAATAGTCAAGTTCTAAATTAATTCATCATTTTATATAGAAGAAAAGAGTGGATATTGACTTCGATGCGCATCACAAAGACATCCAATACCACGTTAGATAACAAAGTTTCAACAACATCTTCTATCAAAATTAATCCTTCGGTTGCAAAAATTGCTCAACAAACGATAGGCAATAAATAGTAATTTAACCAAGAAAATAAAAGAAACAATTACTTTAGAATCAAGAAATATCAAAATTCAAAAATTGGTACAATTAGCAATATCATGTTGAATCATTATCTCCAAATTTTTTTTTATCGATTTAAAAATTACGTTTATTTGCTAAAAAAAAAAAAATTTCACTATATGCGTTAATTATAATTAACAAGTCATAGTTATGCATGAATGAATGATTACAATCGTAAAGAAAATTTACTATTATTATAAATTTTTGATCTGGTTTTATTATTATTATTATTATTATTATTATTATTAAATTCGCTTACCGATTTTTCGAATAGTAATAGTAATAGACTGAGCAATGAATTTTGGTCATAGCGAGAGTTTCTCAATAATGATCGACGAACTTT